TATATATATATATAAAATATGAAGTGCATCGTTTTAATTAACTTGATTTTACTTTGAGGTAACAAAAACTCACATAATCGTTTTTTAGCCAAAAGTTGTTCTTCTCGTTGCTTGCGCCTTGCCAGTACCTGTTCTTCTTGAATTCTACGTCTTTCGTTCTCCGCGACAGCTTGATTGAATTTCAGGCAAAATTGATGGAATATCTTGAAACACTCCTCAATTTTGAACGTGTTACCGTCCTCGCAGAAAAATTCGGCGAGCGATCGCCTCAACGTTTCCAGCTCTTCCATGTCTCGTTTCAACTGACTCATCTCTTGTTCCGCGATCTACAACCGGACGAAAAAACGATCAGAGATAAAATTTTCCATAAATTTCAAAACGGAAATTTTTCCACTTCCCTCCTCTCTCGGTTTCATTGGTTAGTAGTAGACTGACTCTTTTTTTCGTTTTTTTCTTTTCTTTTTTTTTTTTTTAATCTCATAAAAAAACGATAATAAAGTAAATTTAAAGGTTAGGTTTTTAACGATTAACGATACGCGATACCTGTAAAAATTGTGCCATCTGTTTCTGTATGTCGGTTTCCGTCGAAGGGAAATTAATCTGTGCCTTGATCTTTTTTATCTTTGTGTCGAGTGCGTTAAATTCGTTGTTTAACTGCTCCGTTGTACTCCTTCGCATCGAGAACATCGAGACACGCGCGAGACAAAAAAGGATAAAAGAGAGAAACGTTGTTTTAGATATCGTTTCGAAATCTGAGCGAGCGATGTTTTCTCGCAACAACCAACAACAACGACTTACTTCGTGGCGGCCTCCAACGTGCTCATGTTCTTCGCGAAATCCAACAAATCCTTCCTCTTTCTTTCGGCTTGCTACAAACGTACAAAACAACGTGAGGAGAAACAACGTTCGAGAACGACGAACAAAATGAAAGAATATATATATAAAGCGTTGCATGCAGCGTTACCAGAGCCACGTAATGTATAAGATTCATTCCAGGTTTATTCGCACGAATCTCGGTCAATTTTTGCAAAGAGGACAATTTTACCCCGGCGGCGTTCCCAGCGTAACCACCCTACGACATTCGTATCGATTATTCATCCTTCGTTCGTTTAATCGACGATCTCGTTTTACGAAAACTCGTACCGAATTGAGAAAGTTTCCAGTTACCAGAACCATGTACAACACCTCTTGAAGAGGTTTGTTCGTCATCAAATCTTCGCCCGCTAGGATCATAGAGTTGATGCTCGGTTCCAAATAGCTCATATTGGCGGCGAATTCTTCCTTCAACAGCATACACTCTATACGCAGTTTGTAACTGAAATATGGAAATTTTAATCGTATTTTTTAATAACGAATCGAATTGAAGGTAGGGAAAGAATCATTTTCAAGTACTTTGGCACTTGAACGAGTTGGAGAAAGAATTTCTCCGCGTTTCCTAGCTTCGACTTGTCGCCGTCGAAGCTCTTCAGCATCTCTAATTCGTCCACCTCGGGCAAAATTTTCAAAAGGCCGCGCAACTTTTCAGCCCCTATCTCGTCGTGGCTGCCATCCTTTATTAGCCGGATAATATCCTCGTTCGAGCTGAAAATCACAATTTTCACAATTCGATCATCCTCAATCGAGAGAGGAGGGGGGGGGATAAGAATTGTCCTCTTCTTACCTTCGAAATTGTTTTAAAAATATATTGACGTTCAAACTCCTCTTTCCATCGAGAAGCGCGATCTGAAATAATGAATGGGTAGAAGAGATGCACGAATCGAGATTTGAAGAGGTTGAAGAAGTATACCTCGGTCGGTTCCCTTCGTCGTTTCTCGGCGTCCGAGTTGGTTCCGTGGGAGGAGCACGAGGTGGCTGGTAACACGGGAGGTACTTGTTGACAAAAGAGACCCTCCATTTCCGCCCAATCTATATCCGCCATCGGAGAGTTTTGGTGTTCGTCGGCAACCAGGGACCAAATGTTGCGTTTTCCGATCACCTGGAAGGGGAGGACTCGTGTGAGAATTCTCGTGAAAAAAAGAAAGAAAGATGAAAAGAAAGAAGGAAAGAAAGAAAGAAGAAAGGAAAGAAAGAAATAAAGGAAAAAAGGGAGAAGGGAAAAAAGGAAAAAAAGAAAGAAAGAAGGAAAGAAAGAAATAAATAAATAAGGAAAAAAGAAAGAAAGAAAGAGAAAAAGAAAAAAGAAAGAAGGAAAGAAAGAAAGAAGAAAGGAAAGAAAGAAATAAAAAAGGAAAAAAAGAAAGAGAGGAAGAAAGAAAAAAGAAAAAAGGAAAGAAAGAAAGAAATAAAGAAGGAAAAAAGAAAGAAAAAATAAAGAAGAAAAGAAGTAAAGAAAGAAAGAAATAAGAAAAGAAAGAAAC